GTTTACAATGCTGCGGTGCGCTCCATATTACTATATGGATCAGAAACCTGGCCGCTGTGCGCCGAGGACGTCAAAAGACTTTCAGTGTTTGACCATCGATGTCTTCGGAGCATTGCCCGAATCTGGTGGGAACACCGGATCAGCAATTCTGAAGTACGTCGAATGGTATTCGGGAGAAATAACTCACCCTCGATAGATGAACTGATCACACTGCATAGGTTGCGCTGGCTTGGCCACGTGCTGCGTATGCCAGTCGACCGACTTCCTCAAAGGTCTCTTTCCGCCCAACCACGTGAAGGGTTGAAGAGAGCCAGAGACGGTCAAACAATGACTTGGCAGCGAAGTATGAAAGCCAATGCCAGCAAACTCAGCTGCACTGGTCACTGCCGTCTTCCTGGATGGGGAACCTTGAGACGGGCCACATCAATGGCTAGAAACATTGTCAGATATGGCGCAGTCGCGCCCTCAATGGCGCTCGTGCATCCAAGCTATTGCCTTTAATGCATAGCTCCTTTTCCAACCCCCCTTTACTTGACAGCCCGCTAACAGTGCTGGATTTATGCACCAATTTATCAGCTCCCGCCTGCAATGCGCAGCTACCTCCCCCTTCCCCCAAATCATTGGTGAACGAAACTGCGGCAGCTACAACCACTGTGCGACGAGTACGCGGTTATTACAGCTGAAAATGATGACGATGCTGGTAAAAGTGGACATTTACGGGCTTGTTTGCTCGCTACAGCTATGGGCAAAAAGTCATCTATCATTTTAGACAGTGTCAGACTGAATGGAAACCAAACCCCAACCCCTCCACCATGTCGATGCTGGTAAAAGTGGACATTTACGGGCTTCGTTGCTCGCTACAGCTATGGGCAAAAAGTCATCTATCATTTTAGACAGTGTCAGACTGAATGGAAACCAAACCCCAACCCCCTCCACCATGTATTCTAAATGTCAGTGCTGTGTCCACTGCTGCTCTTGTCCTTCATAAATCATGTATTCCATCCTGTCGTCGACAACTTATTTTTCGATGCCATCAATTTCTGGAGAAAAACCCTTTTGACCATGCACTTCAGAAGACGCTCATGGTGGCCCGTCAACGTTTCTTGGATAACCGCTTGTCAAAAATTTCACATTTCCCTTCTCTAGTGCCGAACTCCCAGGGATATCGCCTGCAAGATTTTGCCAAAGATCTAGCGACTCAGCTGGACGTCTCAAGGCTACTAATGCCACGATCGGGAACCTTAGACTCCGCCTTTCTTTGGAGGCCTTCAACGTCATGCTCGCCACCCAACTACTGGTTACGCACATCAAACCTCACGTGAAGCGCGTCGTTTTGGCCTAAAGCCAAGCCAGTTGCGATTAGCCCAGTCTGGCACAGCGGAGGACCACGCGAATGTACCTTCACCGGAAAGTTTGTCAGTGCAGACCTACATTCGCTGTTCCATAAGAGGCTGTCATCGTCATCATCGACAGCATGACATCAGTGTTCTACACCGATGTTTCACTACTATAATAGGAGACTGCGCGAGGCCCTTAGATCGCTACGATTTCTCATCACCATTTATCGCTCGCATCAATGGTCCGGCAGCTGAAGATAGAACACGAATACAGTCTTCTCCTGTCCCCAAGAATTCTTCCCTTTTTCATCCGCTTCTGGGCCCCCTTCAATTTGGGAACCGCTTCTGTCCATTAATGGCTATTCGCTTACCGGAACCGATTTTATTCAGTGGTAGCATTTGGCTATATTTACTCGAAAATCCAATGTTTTATTAAAACATTTAAGCGAAATTCATTTTCCATGGCCGTCCGGAGGAACATTATTCTCAAAATTTGCGATTATGGTGTGCGTCTTACTTGAAGCTCCCAGAAATTTTTAAAACATGATACCCGAGTGGTTTTTCAATTGCGGGCCTTTTGTGGTGAATTATTCCGCAGGAAAAATGGAGGAAAATGTGACGAACGACAGCTTCTGCATAGAAGCAAACTGCTCGCTTTCCACGAAGACTTACATAGGCGGACGCACGGTACCCGTGCCATATGTGACCAGGAAGATGTAAATCTTGCAATTACCACACACTAGTAGCTTTAAAAAGTCTTTCTCAAATCGGTTCGTCTCTTGCATATACGACATCTAAGACATGTTATGAACGAAGCGACCAGCTGCGATTTGGCGAAGTATATGTGACCATAATGCAACGAAGTACCCGTTCGGACTAGGGAATGTTCGCCGAAGGCATATTGTCCGCCACAATGAAACCGAGCTATCCGTCACTTACTCAGCACAACAGCCGACACTTCCTGCGGTAGTTGTAGATGTCCTGAGCGATAAAGATAAAACAAATGATAAAATTATTTATTTTTCATTGACTACAAACGGTCGCATTTCACCTGATTATGTTCCGTATTTGCAGGTGCCCAACTATCCTTCGGTGGGCTGTTAGTCGTACAAAAACCTTGTCACCTCGTGGTTGTGATCACTATTAGAAGAGACGACTGGTAGACGGTCTCCGTGCACCATATCTTCAGTGAATCACTGTATCTGGACAAATAATCAAAATAATCGCTGAACGTCCTTTCGGTGCCTAGCTGCCATGGCACTCAAAGGAAGCACAAGGGCTAAGATACTGCCAGGTTACCCAAGCCTGTAGAGGGGAAGTCGAGATGCATAGGGCGGGTTCGAACCACGGACACTTCGCGCTCTGACTACTGAGCCATCTCGCCCACTTTCCCCTGATGCTCCCATAGCGTGCATTGGAAAGGAGCTAACTGAACTAGTCTAAGAAGAAATTTCAGTCAAAGGTGGACAGATAAACACGGAAGGTGTTCAGGGATTCCACCCTAGGCCAGATAAGTCGGGAGAGAATTTCAGCTATCTGCCCGCTGTACTCTCACGCGGGACAGCCGGGTGCCCATGCAATATAGTGTGATATTTGTGAATTTTTGATACAGTATAGATGTTCGGAAGTAACTGTTTCTGTGTAAAGAGTTAAGACAGCCGCTAAGTCTTGATTCTGTGATATATGATGAGGCAAAGCGCGTTTTCACGTATATCTAACGGAGTAGGGCATTCGTGGTCGAGCTTCTAGGAAGAGAGGTGCGTTAGTGGAGCGCCGGGACACTAGGGTTGGCAGGCCAGTGCAGAAAGACGAGTGAAGAGAAGCACAACGGGGCTTCGATGAACATGTCTCTGGCATCTACTTGGCTCGAGGTATATATTACACGCTTTCAGAAGTTATCCGGATCTAGATGGACTAGAACAAACCTGGGAATTGTCCCGGCTTAACCCCAGAAAGTCCTATAAAATTTTGGCACCACTTTACGCTGTGTCAGTGACGCGGGATCTCAGCCCAGGTAATCAGTCGCCCACTGGAGTGTTCCTAATTTACAACTGTAAATTCACGTGCCTTCTGTTTTGATAGGGAATGATACTCAGGCCAGGTCAACTTGGTCTACAGCAGACGAGGAACTGATGTCTGCACTAGATGTCAGAATCATCATAAGAAAACAATGGATTTCAAGTCTGAATACTGGCACCAATCTCACGTTGATGCCGTTACGGAAACTTGTTTGATAGCCGTCACGAAGAGACTGGACCTTACCGTGGTGTGGCGGTTTGTGTACCTCGGCGACCCATTTTGCTATACTGGGGAGTATCCGCACGATGCTCACAGAGTCTCATACCAGGTTGGTCCATGGGTAGAGGTCCGACGAACAGTCTCCTGGCCCTCCAGGTTGGGGGTTGGAACATGTATGGCAACGTGTCCCGTAAAAAATTGTAATGTACTTGCATTTCCAGCCGAACACCGCTGCCTTGCGGTTAGGTTTTTGAGCCAAAAGCTTCGGTTGGGGACCCTAATCGTCCTCCTGTCTAGGTGTGGGCGCCCTGGCAGTATCCTAGCCCTCGTACAACCATGACATACACAACTAACAATATTCTCATACCACATCGGGCGTTGCGTGGTGCCATCAGCCGGGTCGCCTTACTTGCTGCATACAGCAGGGTGGGTAAGCGAAAACATGCTACTGCTGACGCCTCCCTTCTTATACTTTCGCGTTTTCCTTCTTTCACCACCCCCCACCCAAATTCGAATACTTTCTCTGCAGGTCCCAGCTCTGGGCCTGGCCGTTTTGCTCACCCTGCATCACACTCAGCTGCAACTTCTGCACGTCCGAGTTCAGTTACAACCCTAAACACTTCGAAGTCCGTTTTCAAACCCCGAAAGCCTGCCTGCTTAGCCGCCTTCAATGTTCGCACACTGAAGCAAGCAGATCAACAGGGGGCTCTTGCTCTTACGCTGGATTCCATCTGTATTGATGCATGTTGTCTGTCAGAAACAAGGACGCAGGACGAACTGACTGCCCCCTCGCTCTCCTCCAGGTTCCGGCTGCGCACCTCTGGTGATGCAGAGGCCGCTGCAGCCGGATATGCTGGGGTGGGCACTGTATTGAGCAAACAAGCTGAAGCGTCTCTGCTTGATTGGATACCCGTTAACAGTCGACTGTGTGCGGTTCGCTTGGCAACATCTGTGAGAGAATCTGGAGAAAGTGAGGTTCATCGCACCCTGTTTATTGTGTCTGCATACGCCCCAACTGACTGTAGCTCTGAATCTGCCAAGGACAGTTTCTATGACGCTCTAGGTGCCCTTCTACA